CCCCCCCCACCCCCGCCACGACTGCATCCCTCACCACTAGGATAGGGCTACGCCGGCACATAGTAGGGGCTCAGAAACTTACTTGTATAAATGGACAACAGCAGTTCCTGTTTCCCGAGTGGCTACTGTGGGTGCCAAGTCTAATCGCAATTAGGGCTGAGGCTCCCTGAATATGCAAAACTTCCCTACAACGTAGGTGCTGTTATCAATCCCACTTTAACCGAGGGAGACACGGAGGCCCCGAAAGAAGCAACAGGCTCAAAATCACACGAAAGGGGAATGTCACAGCCAGAATTCGAATCCAGGTCAGTCTGACTCAGAAGCTTGGGCTCAAAACCATTCTCCTACTGTCCATTCCCTGGTTCTCAGGGCCCCAACCCCACCCACCTTACCTAGGGACTTGGGCCTCTCGCTGGCATAGATGCCCCGGGGTTCAGCGGGACCCAGGCGTCCATAGGAGCCAGATCCAGAGAAGCCACTGTCCCCACAGAAGGTAGAGGGTGGTGAGTCTGGACCCCCCGTGGAACTGGGGTCTTCATAGAAGCCTGGATTCCAAGGAGAAGAGGAGAGATCATCAGGGGCCTGGGCGGGGAAGCCAGGGTTGGGGGAAAGAAGAGACCAAGAGGTACCCTGAGAGGTAGGGGCAGGAGGAAAGATGGGGTATCCCAGGCACGCCCTTCTTACCTGAGCTGCGCCCGCTCTCCTGTTCCAGGCCCCCAGACTCCAGGCTCAGATCTCCCAGCTGCTGGCCCAGGTCCCAGATGAGCCCAGGCAAGGCCTCCTGAGGGCATGAGGAAAGCAGATTGGTCAGAATGCGCCCCCAACCTCTGCCAAGGAGCCCCCCACATCTTCCCAGACCATGGGTAGGGTTTCACTTTGACAATGAGGCTCTGATTTCGAAAGGGTAAAAGCACCCAAGCCCCAGGATCTCCCCCCTCAAGTTCTCTGTCCCTTCAGCCCAGTAGAAGTCCTTCCGATGGTCTAACTCAAGTCCTTCGTGCTGCAGTGACATCACCGTCTCTTGGGTGTGCTAAGCTTCAGAAGGCCTGCTCCCTATCAGGTGTTCCCTCCATTTGTGCTCGTGGCCCCTTAACACCTATTAGGATGTCCCTCTTCGAGCCTAAGCTCAGGTGGTCCAGCTGGAAGGGCAATTCGCTGCTACCTAGCAGATCCCTTGGCCATGGGGTCCACCTTCTCCAGTCCTTGACCTTCTCTTCTTGGATGCTCCCATCTCCCCCCACCGCCCCTTATCGGCAGCAGAAAGTCCTTCTGCAAGGCTTCCTTAAGTCCTTCCTGCTGCAGACCGATTCTTTCCCTCATATGGATACAATAGGCAGACCGCGACTCATGCTAAGTCCTTTGCTCCTTCTCTTGGGAAGAACCACTCCCCCGCCCCCCAACACCTACTGGAAAGTCCTTCTGTGAGTGTAGCCTTGGTACTACAGCAACAAGCCCCAGCAGGTTCGCTTGCCTGGAGGACGGCATCTTCCACCTGCCCTTGCTTCA